CTCCTGTACCAGTCAGATCTGATTTGACGGTACACTCACACAAAAATAATTAAAAAAATTAAAAAAAATCTTGTTATTAGCTTGGATGAAGTCTTCTGAAATGATATACTGAATCAGTCTTCACCACCAGGACCTCTGAATGTGACGTTATTTGGATATTAAAATCTTGTTTCTAAGTGCCATCAAGTCAAGTACAAATCATAGTGACCCTATGAGTAATGGATCTGAACCTTGGCCCCCCCCGTGCTGTCCTCATCATCTCTGCTGTCCTTGAGCCCAGTGTCACAGTCACTGTATCAATACGTGCCGTTGAGGGTCGTCCTTTCTTTTACGGACCCTCTACCGTTCCAAGCCTGGTGTTCTTCTCCAAGGACTAGTCCCTCTTCATCACATTAAAAAAACCAACCTCATCACTATGGAGTAGGAACTGACTCATAGTTGACCCTCCAGTGGGTTTCTGAGGCTGTAAATCACACGGGATAAGACGGCTTATCTTTCTACTGTGGAGCTACTGGTGGATTTGAACCACCAGAGAGGTTTAGCCTTTGAGTTCGGAGCACACCACCTGGGTTCTTAGTGGATGTCACTAATTAACACATGTTCAGACTGGAGTAGGAAGGGTCTTAATCGAGTATGACTGGTGACCATATTAAAAGAGAAAAGAGGCAGATGTGAGAGGAGATGAATACACGTGGACAGAAGCAAAGATTTCAAGGAGTGTCTGCAGCCACCAGCAGGTGGAAGCAACAAGGAGGATCTGTCCCTACTAGGCTTCAGAGAGAGCATGACCCTCCCAGCATCTTGGCTTTGACATCCTGCTTCCAGGGTCGCCCACGAAGAAAATTCTGTTTTTTTCAAGCCACCTAGTTGGTGGCCCTTTGTTACAGCAGCCCCAGAAAGTCAGGATAGTTATATACAGAATACATAATCTCATAGATGCTTAAAATCAATGCTGGGCAGTGGACCTGTTCCACCTCACTCCCCTGTCCTCTTTCTCCCTCCCTCCTGGGCTGGAACAGGTGACCACAAGCAGTTGGGGGTGGACAGGCAGAGTGCCAGGCAGGGTGGAGGGGTGCCTGAGAAGCTCTTCGATCTGGAATCTCCTGACCTCAAGATTGGGAGGTGTTTTCTCCTGGCGTCAGAACCCCCTGGGCCAGTATTAGAAATAAAAATCCCAAGGTCTCAATCTAGGCTCAGTTTGCACTGTCCCAACTTCCTCAGTCATTCTTCCAAGGGGGCCAGCTGTGGGCTGGGGGGTGAGACCGCATGGCTGGAATCCTGGGCCTGGACCAGGCCACGTGCTTTCTCTGAGCTTCAGTTTCCTCAGTTGTAAACGAGGACCTGAGATAGTGCCCAATTCTTCTCATGGGGCCAATGACAGTCATGGCTAACTTTTCCATGAACCTGGTATATGAGGTTTCCAGATTTAGCTCACTTCCTCCTCCAAGAAACTCGAGGAAGTGGGCACTACTATTATTATCCTATTTTTCAGATAAAGCCTCTGAGGCTTAGAGGGTAAAGGAATCATCTAACATCACACAGCTAGCAAGTGGCAAGCGGCTTTGAATTGAGGAAACTGGGTTCCGGAAGCATGTCCTTAACCACTGCACATAGAGCCTGATTGATGGGTGGGGGAGAGCTTGCAATGCTGGCCTTTGGAGCGACATCCTCCCCCATCTTCATCCAGAAGGGTCCCCCAGGATCTGAAGGGACATACCTGGTGGGCAAGAACATGGCTATGAAGCAGGCGAGCGGGTTGGCCATGGAGCTGAAGGTGGCAGAAAGGTGGTAAGGGACGGGCCCGTAGGACAGACAGGAGTAGGTCTGCACCGACGGCAGCACTCCATTGGTGAGTGCATTCACGAAGGCCACCAGGAGGTAGATCAAGGCCAGGTGAGCCAAGTGGAGGGGGGCCGTGGGCTTCTCCCGAGGCCCCTGGTCCTTGCCGCTGTCCACTGGGTCTGAAAGCCCCCGCTCCTGCTTGTCCTGCGGCTGAATGGAGTGGAGGCTGAACTGGGAGCTGAGGAGGTCCTCGGTGGAGGTCTCCCAGCGCCTGGGCTGGCGCTGGAGGAGGAAGAAGGCGACGAGGCAGCAGACCATCATGAAGGACAGCAGGAGAAAGAAGACCAAGGGTGAGAAGTTGGCAGGCAGGTAGCGGCTTTCCAGGTGGGAGGTGGGAGCTGCGGTCCCCGCGAGGTCAGATGCCAGGGTGCGGCTGACTGCCTGGGAGGAGGAAAAACAAGGGCCAGTGAGATCTCCAAGGGACCGGAGAAGGAGGAGCGGTCAGGACCCTGGATGACGGCAGGATCTCTGAATGCGAGGGATTGAAGCAATGTCGAAAGTCTATGGCTCTCAGTGCTGATTGTATTTTAGTATCACTGGGAGAATTTTGATGAAATATTTTTGTTGTTGTTACGTGCTATTGAGTCAGAATTGACTCATAATTTAACCTCCCTTGGTTCTCAGAGGCTATAAACCATGCAGGAGGAGGGTACCCATCTTTCTCCTGTGCTGGATTTGAACCGTGTGCCTTTAGGTTGCCAGTGCAACTCTTTACCTGTTAAGCCACCCTTTAGAACTCCCTGTTGTTGTTGTGGACTGTTGAGTTGGAACTGACCCATAGCTGACCCTCCAGCAGGTTTTCAGAGGCAGAAAATCACACGAGAGAACATTCCTCATCTTTTTCTAGTGGAACAACTAGTAGATTTGAACCACGCGTCTTTGGGATTTCAGTGCAGTTTCTCACCACTAGGCCACAAGGCCTCCCTACTAAGTCTCAATCCCTCCTTTGTGATTCTGAAATCCAGAAGGCTGCAAACTTTTAAGTATTTTGCAGAACCATTTGGTAGAAACCCTGAAATTGAATCAGTATATGGCTATTTATAACCCAAACTGGCCCTCTGTGTGTGGATGCTGGTGGTGTCGGAACCACGATGTCACTGTGCTGTGTCACTGGGTCCTCTGTGCTGTCAAGTGTCAAGAAAGCATGTTCTCAAATCTAAAAACTGCAAATTGAAAGTTACACACACACACACACACACACACACACACCCCTTGGTATGAGCAATTAAGAAATAAGGAGATGCATTGCACTGGGAAAATCTGCAGTTAGGAACCTTTCCAAATTATTGAGGAGTAGTGATGTCAGTTTGAGGACTAAGGTGCATCTGATTCAGGCCATAGTCTTTCTGATTACTAACTATGCTTCTGAGAGCTGGACAATGAATAAGAATGACAGAGAAGAATTGACACCTTTGAGCTGTGGTGTTGGAGAAGAGCACTGAACATTCCATGGACAGCCAGAAGAACAAACAGAGAGGGTGCAGTCAGAGTGCTCTTTGGAGTCAAAAATGATGAGGCCTCACATACTTCGGGCATGTGGGAAGAGTGAAGCGTCAGTGAAGGAGAGGAAGACCCTCAACCAGGTGGATTGACACCGTGACTGCTGCAGTGGGCTCTTGTGTGTCAGGAAGTGTGAGGATGACATAGGACAGGACTGGGTTTAGATCTTTTGTTCATAGGGTCGCTATGAGTTGTTCTTGACTTGAAGGCACCTAACAACAACAATACACACACACACACACACACATCTATTTATCTATCTATCTATCTATATCTATCTCTATATCTATATCTATCGCTCTCGTGGCCTAGTGGTAAGAAGCTGCACTGCAATCCTGAAGGCACGCAATTTGAGGCCACCAGCTGCTCCATGGGAGGATGGGCAGTCTCCTCTTGAGTGATCAACTGCCTTTGAAAACCCACGGGAGGGTCAGCTATGGGTCAGTTCCCACTCTACGGTACACATTGAAAACATATCTATATATTATCTACTTCCAAAAGGCCTACTCTTTGAGATTTGAGACTTGTTCTCAATTTAAGTAGCTTCTCCAAGTGACCTGACATGCAGACAGATAAGCACACTGGTCTACCCAATTCTATGATATACACTGACCCTCTGCATGATTTGCTCAGAATAAACCTGGAAGGATGCAAAGGCTCTGGGACCTGCTGGGTACCTGCGTGATGCCGAATGTTCTGTTGATCATGGGGCCTGGGGTGGTGTCAGTGACGCTGACGCAGGTGGTAAGGCCCGAGCCCTGAGCGAGAGCCACCAGAGCAGGCAGGAGGCCGCTGAGCCCCTCACCCACGAAGAAGGTGGTGAGGTAGCGGGCAGGCAGCTGGCTCATGAAGGGCAGGAAGGTGACGGAGGAGGTGCAGTCCACCAGGGCCAGGAAGAAGGTGAGAACCAGGAAGGCGACACTGTGATGGCTGTCCAGCACCCAGGAGGTCGTGTTCCAGAGGAAGGCGAAGAGCGTGCAGGTTACGGTTCCCACACTCAGCACCGTGAAGATGACAGGCACCTCCGGAAGGCAGCCGGGGCGGAAGTGATGCAGCAGGGTGACCAGGAAGGGGCCGACGTTGGCCAGCTGGATGACCACCGTGAGGTAGGAGGGCAGGTACCAGCCTTCGGGCAGCTCAGTCACCAGCAGGGGCAGCTCTACCCAGAGCCCATTGATGGCCACCCAGGAGCCTGTTCCAAAGATGCAGACCAGCAGGTGAATCAGGAAGGCCATGGTGCTGTCCGCCTTGGTCCGGGGGACCCACCTCCTCAGATCAGCCTGGAAGGGTGACAGAGGTAAGACAACAGGTGAGCAATTTCAAGTTTACATTCCAAGAAGAAACTATGTTTTGGGCTTCTGTATTTTCTACTGTCATCTTCCTACCCGTAGACAAGTTGGCTTCTTAGATGCCGAAAACACAGACAAATTTCTTTCTAACCGGAGAAAGTGTTCTCCGCCACAAGCTGTCAATGCAGAGTGAACAAAAAGAAAGTTTGATGTATTTGATGGCATGACAGTGGAAACAAACAAAAACCAGCAAACAGACCAGGAAAAAAAAAAATAAAAAAATCTGCTGCTTGGTAAACAGTACCAAAAGCAAAGTCAAAAGACAGAAGATTTGCGAGGTACAGTGTACACACGTGGCTTGTCTCCCCAGCAGGTAAGTTGTTGTAAGATCAGCCATAGCTCATAGTGACCCTGTGAACAGGTCAGATTCTCGCCTTGCCAGCACCATGGTCCTGGTCTCCTCCATGCTCAAGTAACACAATTTCTGTCACTGTGTCAGCCCGTCTTGTTGAGGGTCTTCCTCTCTTTCGCTGACCCTCTCTATCTCTCCCAGCATGATGTCTTTTCCCAAGAACTGGCCCTCCCTGACAACAGGCCCAAAGAAGATGTGAGACCACGTGAAACACACCATCCTTCCCTCAAGGAGCACCTTGGTTTCACTTCCCGCAAGACATATTTGTTCAGCTTTTTGGCAGTCCATAGTATACTCAATACTCATCACCAATATCACAACTCAAAGGCATCAATTCTTCTTCAGCCTTTCTTATTCATAATAGTTATTGTTTTTATGTAAGATCAAGTCAGAACCAACCTATAGCTGACCCTCCAATGGGTTTTTAGAGACTGTATATCACATGAGAGGTGATTACACATCTTTCTCCTGTGGAACAACTGGTGGTTTTGAACCAAATATCTATGGGTTGGCAGTACAACTCCTTTCAACTCAGCCACTTGAACACAATAGGTAGTTTCCAAAAACTGAGGCAAAAAAGAACAGCCAATAGAAAAATGGGCTTATGGATATGGACAGCTTAGAAGGGAGAAAAGCAAATAATTCTTGTGTTGTTATATATCATCGGGTTGGAAGTGACCCATAGCTGATCCTTCAGGGGTTTTTCAGAGGCAGTAAATCACATGGAAGGAGATTGCTCTTCTTACAGTGTCAATTCTAATTATATTTCTCACCAGGAAATTGTCCTCATAATCAAAATTACCTGCCCAGAACAAAATTATTGTGCATACAAGGTTATTATTCATTGTGGATTTCCTTGTGGGTAAATGTCTAACTATGAGAGTCCCTAAGTGTCCATCAACAGCAGAGGAGGGCCCAGCTAAAGGGACGGCCCTCCACAGGTTAGAATACTGTGTCCTGTTTAAAGAGATGAGGCCTGGTCTCTAGACTGTTTTGATGCCCAACAGCAAGCCAGGTGGACGGTTTGCTGTCTTTCAGTAGCAAGGAGTGCAAGAGGAGTGGACTGTTTCCTGTGCTTGTTTTGCCCAATGTAAGCCCTGAATTCAGGCCTTGGTCTTCGCCATTACTTGGCTGTGCATTAGAGGGCTGGACGATGACTAAGGATGACAGAAGAATCAATGCCTTTGATTGAGGTGCTGGAGAAGAGTCTTCAACATACCATGGACCGCCAAGAAAACAAATAGGTCTGTCTTGGAGAGGGTGAAACAAAGTTTCTCCTTGGAGGCTAGGCTTTTGAAGCTCCAGCTCAGATACTTTGGGCATGTGGCCAGGTGAAACTGGTCTTTGGAGAAGGACATCATGCTTGGAAGGGTGGAGGGACAGTGAAGGAGAGGAGGAAGACCCCGGATGAGATGGATTGATACAGTAACTGGGGCAATGGGGTTTGGTGTGTCAGAATCAGTGAGACTGGCTCAGGACAGGGCAGGCTTCAGAGCTGCTGTGCATAGGGTTGCTATGAGCCACAGGCAACTCGATGGCACATAACAACAAGAAGAAACCTTGAATGAAGCAGAAGGACAGGTGAAGTGCCAGAGGCATCTCTGTATAAATCCTTTTATATGATTTTGATTTATTAGTCTTGTAAATGCATTCCGAGTTGCCGTCACACTGTCTCCAACTCAGTCACCGTGCATACCACAAAGAACGTTACCAGTCACACATCACCTTCACAATCAGCGGGGTGCTGGATCTATTGCCTTGGTCGCTGTCTATCTTGAGTCACTTCCAACCTGGAGGAGGGCAGGAGGGTATTGTCCAGCACCATATTGGACAGTGTGGTCTGTGGTGTCACATTGGCTAATTTTCAGCATTGCTTTGCCAGACCTTTCTTCCCAGTTAGTCTGGAAATTCTGCTGAAGCTTTTCCACGATGGGTGTGCCTGCTGGGATCTGAAACACCACTGGCATGGTTTCTGGTGTCACAGCGATATACAAGCTACCACAGGGGGACAGGCATGTGGTGGTGCGAACATATCCAGTGTCTCCCCGTCTCCTGTGAGGATTGAACGCCCTACCTGAGTGGGCATTTGGAGACCAACCATTCCAGGGTCTGCTTACCACCTTTCCAACCACCATCCAGGTTACATGCCCCTTTCTTCACCCTCTACTATTGATCTCCTGTCAAAGCAAAAATACTGGAGAGACCAGGAGTTGCCTGGGTTTGACGCCTGCCTCAACATCCTAGCTGGTGATCTTAGGGCAGTGACCTTGCCTCTCTCTGTGCCTTGATTTTTGCATCTGTAAAATGGGAATAGAAATAGTATCAACTTCATGTTTTGTAATGAGATGCAGCTGCGATTTCAGAGGTTATTAATTTTTGGAAGCAGGAGCGGCATCCACTTTCATAATAGCTTGCCTCCGGAAACCCTGTGAACCTGGAGAAAGGATGAAAATCACACAAGTGTCGAGGACTTTTGTTCACAGGGTCACTATGAGTTCGACTCGATGGCACTTAACAACAACATATATAATTTAGTTATTTATTATTATTATTATTATTACTATTATTATATTATCAGGTCTGAGTGGCAATTGTCTGCTAATTCAAAAGTTGACACTTTGAATCCACCCAAGAACTCCATGGAAGAAAGGCCTGGAAAATGGCTTCCATAAAATGAACAGTTAAGAAAACCCTGTGGATCTACCCTGTAACACATGGGTTCTCCAAAACTTTGGGACCAGCTCAGTGTTAAATAGTAATTATTATTCTTATCATCAAGTGCTAGGTTTGGCGATTTGATAAAATTTAAAGGGGCTTCAGCATGCCAGAGACGGTGAGAACGGCCCAGGACAAGACGTGGTTCAGACCCGTTGTTCGTAGGGTCTCTCTGAGTCATCAGTGACTCGATGGCACTTAGAAACAACAAATGAAAATTAGCACTTGACTATTAAATGAAAAGAGAGACTAAAGGTCCACACAGGTCTTTTGAGATGGGAAGCAGGATCCCAGAATGACTTTCCAGAGATCGGGAAGTGGGATCTCCAGCACCCAGCCCACTTTGGTCACCCCTGACCCCTTGGCTCCGCTCAGATCTCTTGGTCACTATTGAGCCCCCTGCCCTTCTTCTTCCTAGAGCATCTGGAGGCATCCTTTCAGGAGCTTTCCCTGTGGTCCCCTGCCTAGCTCCTGACCCGACCTGCCACCGTCCAACCCCAAGTAACTCATCAGGCCCAGGCTCCCCACCTCCCACCACTTCCTTCCCTCCCAGGAGGCACTGGAGCAGAACGCAGTCGGACCTGTTCCCAGTTCTGCTCTACCACCTCCTGTCTCGGCTGTGTAGGCAAATCGCTTAAGCTGTTTGCTCATGAGAAACTAGATTTGACTAAGAGCATCTCAGTCTAGATTCAGTTCTGAGTGTGCCCAGGGGACCCCCTAACCATCACCACTGACACTGTGTCCCCTGCTATGTGGTCCTTGTGCTGCCTGCCTCCTACGCTTCCAGCCAGATCCCACTGTCCCAGCCTCATGACCCCAGGAAGCCTTCACACGCATCCTCACCTGGGCACCTAGAGGGCCAAGGCTTCCCTTTCGTGGATTTACACAGGCACACTTCTTGTCTTTTAGGAGAGATTAGGGTGCTGCGAGGGCAGCAGATTTAGTCACACTCTGGCTCAGGCTTTGTAAATTGGTCAGTTAACAGCCACAGTCGGGCCTCAGATACACTCTTTTGGTTTGCTCAACACCTTAGAAAGTAGTTTTGGTGACCCAGTGGTTAAAGGCTCAGCCATTAAAGGTCAGAGGTTTGAATGCAAGAGCTCCTCTAAAGGAGAAAGATGTGGCAGTCAGCTTCCAGAGAGAGGACATACAGCCTAGGAAGCCTCCGCAGGGAGCTCTGGTGGCCTAGTGGCAAGAAGCTGTGCTGCAATCTCAAAGGCATGCGGTTCGAGGCCACCAGCTGCTCTGCAGAACGATGGACAATCTCTTCCAGTGCAATTAACTGTCTCTGAAATCCCTCCGGAGGGTCAGCTATGGGTCGGTTCTGTAGTGTTGCTGTGAGTTTGAATCAGATCAACTTGACATCAACAGATTTAACATTCTGGAAAACTCATTACTGAAAATGGCAAGTTAGGAAATAGCGTACACAGCTTGGGGAGCTCTGGCTTAAAGAGTTGTACTGCCAACCCAAAGACATGTGGTTCAAATCCACCAGCTGCTCTTCAGGAGGAAGATGGACAATCTCCTCCCATGTGATTTACTGCCTCTGAAAACCTGCTGGAAGGTCAGCTATGAGTCGGTTCCAACTTAACAGGACAAAACAATACACAGCTCAAGGCTACAGCCATCAGCACAGGTTACACCTCAAGAGAACAAAAAATCTTCACCAGTGGACCAACAGGCAACATCATGATAAGTGGAGAAAACACTGATGTCGCTGAGGATTTGATCTCACTCAGATTCAGAACACCTACAATAACAGCAACCAAGAAATCAAAAGATGTGTTTGCTTGGGAAAATTTGCTGTCAAGCACGTCTGTAAAGGGATAAAGAACAAGGATGACTGAGGTGCCTCTGACCTGAGCTGTAGTGTTTTCAATGTTTCCTATGCGATGAATAAAGAGGACCAAAGAGGATTAATGCCTCTGAATTGTGGTGTTGACAAAGAGTATTGAACACACCACTGCCAAAAAACAAGGCAAATATGTCTTGGAGGAAGCGGGGGTTTCCTTGGAGGCAAGGATGGTGACACTTTGTCTCACAGTTATGGGTTTATTGTTAGAAGACATTGATCCTTGGAGAGGGACATTGTGCTTGGAAAGGCAGGAAGAGTAAAAGAAAGAAAGACTCTCAATGACATGGGCTGGCGTAGCAGTGACTAAAACAACGGGTTTGAGCATGATGGAGATTGTGAGGGTGGTATGGGATAAGGTGAGGTTATATTGTTTATAGAGTCGCTATCAGTCATAATCAACTCAATGCACCTAACAATAGCCACATTCCAGAAGACCCAGCCAGTTAGACTGGCGTGCCCACATAGCAACCATGTACAGGAGCTTGAGGACTCTGCTAGGAGCCAGCACACCGTTCTCGTTCTTAGTCCTGTTCAGTTAATAGCACATGCCTGACCCTTCAGCAGGTCCACTGACCCCTGATTTAAAGGCACTGAAGAAGGGCAACCCACTCCTGTTAGGAAAACCCTATCGAGCTCAGTTCTGTTCTGTACCACGTGGGCCACCGTGAGTCAGAGCAACCCCACAACATAGAGCTTTCGGATTAAGCCGCACCCTTATTTTCCAGAGCTGTGACTTGCCAAGGCAAACTGGGGCCATGATCCGGTTCTTCTGGCTGTTGCACCCAGGACTTCCTGTACTGCCTTAGCCAGCTCATCACTCCTCCCTTCAGTAGCATCTGAGGATGCCTGAGTCCAAGCCCCCATTGCAATCCTTAGAAGCTGCGCAAGCGACTTACCCTCCAGATTCCCCACTCAGCGATGAAGCTTCTAGCCTCACAACACAATGGGCAGATGATGATGATGATGATAAACGTGCAGAATGTAGACCAGAGACAGACACACTACGAGTGCTCAAGAAATACTAACTATTCAAATCCACCAGATGCTCTACTGGAGAAGGAGGGACAATCTCCTCCTATACCAGTCAGATCCCATTTGATGGTACACACACACAATTTTTTTTTAAAAGAAATGCTAACTATTGCAGCAAATGTTAGTATCTCAGCAAACGTATCAGTTGCATTTGACATGCAATTACCTTGGACACATTTTTGGACATCACAACACAGTCATTTCTCATAGCATCACATCTCTCTGATCAACGAACAAGGGCTCTTCAGTATCCCCTTTGTGCCTGGCAAGGTGTTCCACTGTGAAGGATGCAAGAAGAGGCAAAGTTCCTCTTCCCAGACAGGAGGGCAAGGAAGAGATGTGTGAGCTGCAGGGCCCAGGTGCAAGGGACCCGCTGAAGGCATAGGAGTAGTTGGGGGTAAGGTGGGTCATGGAGATGGGGCTTCCCACCTCTCCTTGGCCAAGGCGGGTAATTCAACAGCCGCAGAACTGGGGAAATCTCTTTTTGGTGAACAGTGGAATGGGAGAAGGGGGTTATATCTTTCCAGTAGAGCCTTTCCATTTCCAAGGGGACCTGAACCAGAACCGGCCAAGGAGATCCAGACCAGAGGGTGACAGGTCAGCCCCACCTGAGAGCAGATTCTGGCATAAAGTAGGCAGAATCCCACTCAGGAGAGATGCCTTGTGTCCACGTAGGCAGATCTCTCTGTAACTGGTGAACTAGAATGGAGAGAAAAAGGAGAGGGAGTTGTATGAAACTGCAAGATAGAGCTGCTTGTTGCCTCCCACCAGACACTCTTATCTTCCTTTGTTGCTACAGAGATTTGAGATTTTTGGAGCAGAGGGAGGGGTTGGGCAAAAGGCCACTTGGCTAAAGGATTAACTGTCCTATCTTCCCATGAACCTGAAAAAGGCCATGTGACTAAGTACTAGCCAGTGAGGTGATGAGGGACTTTAAGAATTATCCTGAAAAGTAGTGTATAGATAAGCACCACAATAAAATAAAGGTAAACAAGCCAATTGAAAAATGGATACAGGATATGAACAGACACCTCACCAAAGAAGACATTCAGATGGCCAATAACACATGAAGAAATGTTCAAAATCTCTAGCTTTAAGAGAGATGCAAATCAAAACAACTATGAGATATCATCTCACCCCAGTCAGAATAGCAAAATTTAACAGAACAGCAAGCAACAAATGCTGGC